CACAATATTTTCTAGAAAGAGCATGTAGTTTTGAGGCTATTTTTCTCAAGTGAAGAAACTAAACTACATAGGTGAGGTTAATTAATATGGCCTTTTAATAAAAGTAAGTCTTATTTTTACATGGAAAATCTTAGTTACAGGAAAAATATATTGAAAAATTCAGATGAAAGTTTTTTTTTGTTGTAGAGATAAGGTTTCACTATGTTACCAAGCTACTGATCCTCCTGTCTCAGACTGAGTAGCTGGGATTACAGACATTCAACACTATGACCAAGAAAAGATTAATTTTATAATAAATAATTTATGAGTTCCATTCAGTATGATATTTCAAAGTACAACAAATTCATTTAATGTTTGAAAAAATGGGAATGAAAATGTTTGAGATGAGAATGAAAAGCACTAATTATGTATACTATTTAGTAAGTTTAATGCACAAAAAGTTAATACTGAAGTAGTCTATGAAAGGCAAAATACCCAGGCTATAACACACACATAGAAAATGAAAGTGTTAGAATCAGATGGTTCAGATAACACACACATCCAGTTCATCTTTGACCTTAGTGAAATGGTCAGTAAATGACATCACTCTGCCAACCACCAAGAATGTTAGGCTCTCCGAAAAAATATTTTTCAAAGATCCAAGGAAACCTAAGCAGTCTCTGCAATTTTTTCCAGTTTATGAAAATTGGAATCCTATAAAAGGAAAATGGACCATTTTTACTGCAACAAAAACTGATTTGTAAAAGCTGGAAGCAGTTTAAAAATACTGAACATGAGGTTCTTGTTAGTCTTGAAAAGTAAGAGTTGTAATAAAAAAAAATAGTCCAAAAATATGGTACAGATTCATGGTATGTAACAGGAAAAAAAACTAGTCTTGCACCTATTATTTTTAATTAGCTTCAATAGCAAGTTCCACTTTACTTTCTAACACTAGTTCAGATTTGGGGAGGGTAAGATTTACATTTGACTCTCTGGGATTGGCAACTCCATAGGTAATGCCTTGGAGCCCTAATGCATTTTGCATTAGCTCTAAATGTCGGGAAATCCTGGCGCCAAGGGGTTCAAACCAATAGCGATACATGTCTAAGACCCAGGATTCGCTGTCCAACTGCCAGTATCTATTTTATCAAACATTCAGTCTCTCTTGTAAAACGAGATTGATGAGTTTAGCAGTTTTCACTGTTTCCAATTAAACTGCCTTGATATATGACAAAAATGCAGGCATTCAGATCGAGAAGTCCCCTCAATTTGGATTTTAAGAAAAACACTAATTTGAACACTTGTCTTAATCTGGCTTAGTTTCTCAGATTAGAATGTATCTGTCATTTTAGGAAAAAAATTTTCTGAACAATTAAAATAATAAAGTTCATGTCATTCAAATCAGCAATTTGTTCTTTACGTTGCAGGAACTTGGGATCACCTATTTTATATCATTCCACTACACTGAAATGTTAAAAAAACAAGGTCCCAAAAGCTGAGTTAGCTGAAGAGCACGCCACTTGGCCCTGTCATAACCTGCTCCATATTCCATCCCACATACCACTGTCAGTCAAATCATTATGACAGTGGTAATGGTAGGAATCACTTTTTATACATTAACCATTTATATTCTTTCCCCAGATAACTTAGTCATGCTCATTTAGCAAAGACATATGATAAAGAAGCAAGGAAAGAATTTGTAAGTCATTTGGATCTCTTTTCAGATTTAAGGTGGAAAAAACAAAACCCCAAAGGGAAAAAAAACCTCTCAATATATAATACTTTCTCTTTTTAAAGATATTTAGAGAATCAGTTTTTTCAGTATTTTAAATTCAACTGAGACATTTTTTCAGTTAGCCTAAATTCTTTACGGCGTCTATAAAATCTTATTTTCATATTCATAGTGGAGATGAATAGGAATCCAATAATTTCTGTTTAATATTTCTTGAAAAAATTAAATATTAAAATACCTGAGTAATTTGAAATCTGTTAAAATGAAAAATCTCAACAGTGATTTAACATTATTAACTAATTCTAAATTTACCTATTAAATATCAGAAGCTGAAAGGAAACTGTTAGTTTAAAATTTTATATATGAAACAGTAATATGTGAATAATCACGAAGCAATTTAAAATATTTAAGTCTTTGCAGAATTAAAAAATATACCAGATCCATAGTTAGTATCAAGGGGAGCCCTAGCTAGCCAAAAATGACTGAATAAATGAAAAAAGAAATTAATTCCAGTGTAGATTAGTAAAACAAAATGTAAAAGTATATGTATCCCCGGCTATATTATATCCTCCCTATCTCTGCTTATACAATTGAAAGCCCCTATTAGCTTGATCTATGATCTACAAAAACTTGAATAAATTGATTGCAAATTATCCTAGAAATGAAAAAGTAATAGTTACAGGAGCTAAATCCCCAAGAATTATAAAAGAAATGAAGGACTTAACTTTGTCAGAGGAAGATCTTTTTAAATGATTGTTTTCAAAATAAAATGATTATACTAAGTATATTGCTTTTTAGATTTGAAAAACAATCTACTGTTTTATTAACTAATCCTTTAAGTCAATATTACTGTGATATGTCCTTTATGAAGTAAAAGAAGCTATTTAAATATTTCTACCCTTGAAAAGGAACTGAAGGTTTAAAAAATATTTTCTTAAAGTAATTTAAAATAATTATTAACAGAACTGAGAAAATCCTGACTTTTTGGACCTAATATTTAGTCACAATGTACTAAATGTAGCTCTAAAAACAATTTTATTGTTTTGTAAAATGACCATTTTCAAAAGCCCCAAATGAAAGATTTTCCTCAATTAGGCTGTAAGATTATTCTGTATATTCAATTTTAGTGAAAATGTTTAGTTTCTTTAAAGTCACATAATTATAATTATATATATATATATATATATGTATGTATATA